GACATGGCAGTGAGAACTCAGGGAGGTGACCAGCAGTGGTAACTCCTTGAGCTGACTGTGCTGCCAACATCAGAATATTGTCCAACTATGGTTTCACGCTTTGTGTGCATTGAAAACTCCAGGTTTTTAACGTAAAACAAACCAACGAAACCAAAACTCCCACAGCACAGATGGAGATTAGCTGACAGAAGTTCTGCAAACAAAGCAGCTAGTGAAATAAACACATTTTAGCGATTTCCATGCAAGAGATTTAGGTAGAACCAAACTTTTGGGATTATCCAATGCTACAACTACCTCCTGTAGAAGTTTTATGATCGCTCACAATGTGCTAACATAGGAGCCCTCTCAGGAAAACAAGCAAGCCATGCACAGTAAGAAGGGTTGATGTTTCAGGGCAGGCACATTTTCCATTCATCAATGGTTTTATGGCAGTACAACTGCAAGTAACCTCTTTGAAAAGCCTTCCTTGCTTTCAGTCGCTCAGGACTAAACAGCACTAAGGCAAGACAGAACAGTACTGTACTCTGCTGAGACCATATTTGGGATAATACAATTTTGACCAATTAAATAACCTTGAAATATTAGTTGGGCTCAGTGGGGTTTTTTTTCCATCTGCTGATTGTCCCATAATTGCAATGCTAAGAAACCACTCTAAACCTCTTGCATTGTACTGCAAGATCAGCAAGAGGAACAGAATTAACCAGCTGCTTTGGGCTGCCTCCGGGGATCAGGAAGTTCCCATAGAGGATGGAGTCATTTCTGTACATTTTACAGAGTAGACAACGTAGTTGGACTATTACAATGCTCTGTACTGATCCCTACCTCTCTCCATATATATTCTAAAGCCCTGAAAGTTTTCATTTCTACATACTTCAAAGGATAATAAACAGATGATGTTCATTTTATTTACTAATACACTACAAAACTTAACACAAGGTGGAGTTATCTACATTGTGTGTTAGGTGTTTTCGAGGCACCTACGAGGACTAAGATATAAAAGCCATAAATCAAGACATTATCCACCAAGTTTTCCAATGGGAGGGATGACTCAGCTGCCAAGATCTGGGAACATGAGGCTGTACTGATAAAGACAATGCTGAAATATTCAAGGCCAAGGAAGATAGTCAGGGAGGATTGCTGCAGCATTTGGTAGGAAAAAACATTTGCAGACTACATTCCACAGAAGACAGTACGCCCTTCCACCACCATCCATCAAGCTCAAAGAGGAGACATGATTCCTCCTCAGCTGGGAGTGCCTTTTTTCACATCAATGAGGTTGTAGCTATATCCTGCTATGGACAATATTGTTCCTAAGAAAGGAACAGACCTTTTTGAGGGAACGGGTGATTACAGATTATAGCAATTTAAAAAGGATAAATGCAAGATTAAAGGAACTGGGCTGCATGTTCTAGAAAGGAAAAGATAGGGCCAGGAAGAATGTAAAAGACATCTAAGACAACAGTCATCCATTTTTAACTTGTAAAGAAGTAATCATTAATTTTCAGCAACAAAGATTTGGATGGTACGAGACAACCTACCTAGATGGATAGTTAAGCATACGAAGAGACATCTGAGGAACATGTTTTAACCTGAATCTATGAAGGATGCATTAGATCTTGTTTATAAGGCTGAAAGAGCTGACTACAGGAGCAGCAAGGAGGAACTAAAAGTGGGTTTAAGCTAGTATTAAGATAATCAGAAGTGTAATGAAACATCTCAGGTAGAGCACATTCTCTCTTGCCATTCTTCATTTCTTCCCCTCCAGGGAGGCAGCAGCAGGAGGTGGCCGAGCCCAGGTGTTTGTGCCCTTTTGGCACATTGCTCAGAGGGTGAGAAGCAGGGTCCCTCGTATCCCCAGTACAGCATCAGGAGCCACTGACACCTCGTGCTATCACCGAACAGGCACCTTCCTGCTTTGGCCTCAAAGTTCCCATCCAGTTTTCCAGGTTTCTTTTTCAATTTTCTTAGCTAGGCCCCTTGTATTAAGGCCAGGGTATGGCCTTAGCCTGGCTTTACAGACGTAAAACTGAAGAGGATCTAATTAATAAGAAGTCCCTTGCTTGGTATCCACCTCAGCAATGACCCAAGTCAGTTTAGGGAAGGACTACAGCCCTTCCCACCCTTACACAGACAAGTCAGTCAACACTTATGTGGCAGCATTATTACTTTATTTCCCATCCTGAAGTTATCCACCTGGCCTCTATTTTATTTATATACTCATTCGTGAAAAACACTCGGACTGGAGAAAATCCAAACAGTTGAGGAGACATTACGTGCACATCAAGCACTTAGTAGTCACGTCAATGTTTGAGGGAACTAAGTGCCACAGTAAGACATCTAGAAAGCAAAACATGCTGAGAAAAAGGAAGCTTTTTCCAAACTAGCACAGGGGAAACTAAAGCTGTAAAAGGCTCTGCTGTTTCCAGAGGAAAAGAAAAAAAAAAAAAATTTGATCATGAAAGACACTAAAGAAGATGCAGAGGGCATGTCAAGGCAAAGCCTCCCTTCAGCTTCTTTAAGTCTCCTGTTATCCATATAAAACAACGCTAGTACAGCAACTGACAGCTGTGGTTTACAGTGAAGTCATCTTCAGGTGGCTTGAATCCCAGGTAGGTGCTCCTTGGTGAAAATAAAGTTACAAGCTTCTCATGTCCTCTCCCCCCTCTTCTCGCAGCTGCACTTTGAGGTAGACATCCCCCACAATCTTTCTCTTTCTTTCCCTCACTGCTCTGTTCTCAAAAAGTCTGCAAGATGCTGCAAATGCTCCCATCATCTTGTGTAGGAAAATATGCATCTGGAGCTTTGTCACACACAGGCACGTTCATGTGAAGCTACCTGTACAAAATGCCTTCATCTTTGCAACCGACTACTTCCTATCATCAGCTCTGGGAAAGACCAGGGAGGCCAGTAAAGTGATCTTTGTGCTTGAAAACTCAAATGAAATGCGGAGAGACTATCAGAAAATCTTGCTTCTTAAGAGTAAGCAGCAGAAAGTCTACCTCAGCAGAGGCATACTGTAACTAGCCCACTCAAGGCAGAAGAGGTGGCATGTCTCGATCTTGTGGCAAGTCAACAGACCACAATGATGGACAAGAGCAAGGATATCCCATTTGCATGGCCAATCCACTACGAGTTTTATGTACTTGAAGAGAGTCTAGTTGTGATATGATACAGCTGTGAGGACATGGGTTGGAGAATGAGGAAGATTTCCATCAAAATCACAAGAATTAAACTATTTAAGTTACAAAAATAATCCTACCAATTTTACTGCTTTAAAATCCATTTTTTAAAAGGTTTGTGGCAGGTGCAACTTCAAGGGGTTAAGAGAGTCATAATATATTTACTCAATTTGGATTGCTGAAAAAAAAAAAAAAAGGCACAAATTCAAAAGACACAAGGGCTAAAAGAGATCTGCCTTTAGTCTTATCTCCTCTCCATTTAACTTTGCAGAGGAAATCTGAACTTTTTAATTTGATGAAAGACGAAATATTCCTTGGCATTCAAAACCAAAAGAACGAAGACAAGAGTTGTCCAGGGAAACTATTAATGCTGACAAATGTTTTTTTTTTTCCTCTTAAGCCACTGCCAAGTAACTTCAAAATTATTTTGATATTATTCTGGATAACAGCATAACCAGTACTGGCCTATACACCAACAAAACGGTATTTCTGTGAAAATTGCAGGACTTGCACAACTAGTTTTCCACAATTGCCTAATGTTATGAAATAGAAGTTATTTTCCAATTGATAGAAACAGGGGGGTTTACTTCGATGAAAAAATATACATGGTTTTGACATGTTGTCCTACACAAGAAAATGAGACATGTAACAAAAGCAGTTTCCACTGTATAAGGTGCATTTATTGCTGTTCTAACATTAAACTTGAGGGAAAACCACATTATTTAACAGGCTACTTAAATGTACAGAACAACTCAATCCAGTCTTACTCTGGTATCACAGGTTATTTATTTGACTTACAAGGTAATTCCCAATATTGCTTGAAACTTTTAGTGCACAGAATTAAATTTGACTTGGAAGACATCAACAATAATAGTACTTTGAGTGCCACTGTGTTCAACTCACACTGTGAATTCCTGAAAAATCCTTTGTGGCTTTTGCCCCATGGTATTAGCTAGAAGTTTTTGAAGATTATACCAGAACTCATGACATAAAGCTCCAAGAGATTACACCCAATTCTGTGTCAGCCCCTATTTTCTGAATACGGACACCATCAGTTATACCATACTAACTTAATTTCAGCAAAAGTTCAAGCTGGCCCTACTTAAAAAGAAACAGAAGTTTCCAAAGAAAGCAATGTTTTCTCACAGCTCTGATACAAGCTAAAGAGTAAGGCCACTTCAAGTTGGTCCATTTTTTCCCATTAAAAAAAAGGATGAAGGAAACATTGTCCATTAAGCTTAAGTGTCACACAATGCATAATCCAAGATACAATGCTTTCTCTAATATCTCACCATAAGAACAAATCGCCTCAGCTCACATTAGATGTAACGCAGGTAGTAAATGTGCGCAATTGTGTAAGCTGAAACAACTCTCACTAGAAGGCAGACTGCTTTCTAACAGGCTCTTTGCGATGGGAAATTTATTCCTGAGATTAGAACTAAAAGAGGAAGCTCTTCCATTATGCACATTTACTATGTGACTAGCCACTACAGCTGAAGAGCCATGGGTAGAATCAATGGCTAAGCAGCAGTACAAGAACTGCAATAAAACCCAAACAAGTTAGCCACAGTACTGCTGCTTAACATGCCAAGTCTCTTCTACAAAGTAAACATTACTTTCAAGTTAAGTACAAATCCTTCCAGGCTGCTTTTATATACCACGCACACTATTTATATATTTACTTTTGTTCTTCCCCTAATAAAAATAATTTCTATTGTGCTTCTCATGGCATATCTGTGTTACACTATCATGTATTCTTCCTTTGCTGATTACTCAAGTTTTGACGGGGAACTACAAAATAAATTTCTGGAGCACTTGGTATTAGAATAACCAAACAGCTTTAATAAAAAGTGATGCTGCCATTAAAAAGGCAGAGGATAAAAAAAAATTAAAGCTCTTTATTAACTTATCACTAAAATCTACAATATTCCACAAAGGTTACATACTCACAGCAACATTACGCTGTTAAGAGGACAGTACTACATTTGTCAGGATCTTTTTATTATCCACATATGCAATTTATTAGCCAGTTGATCTACAAGATATTATTTACCACAGGCAAACTAAATACTGTGCTTTTAAGAAACCTGCATAGAAATGATTTGATGTTTCTTTTATTTTGGACATATTTACAAAAAGAATTTCTAGGTGTGTTAGCAATAAATAATTCCCATATTCAAAATGTCAGTGCTCATGCACACACCGACAAGATGGTTGCATGCTTTGAAAATATTATTTACAGTACAGTCTCCTTCATAGCCCTCTCCCTAATAATAGCAGAAAGTGCATTTTTCTCCCATATTCTTTCTCCTTTCTTTTTGTTTTCATTTAGTCTTGCTTCTGAGGGATACAGCCTTCCATCTCCACAACTTCTGGCCAGCCTTCATACTTGTTTGTGTCCTTGTTGTTCTTTATATGCTGTAAATAGAAAACATCAATCTCTCATTAATGTAAAGTCATTTATCCTTTTGCTTTAACTCACAGCTTTAAAAGACATTTTATTTCCTTATTTTCAGGCTATGAACAAAGAGAAGACATCACTATTAGCCTCTTGTGCTTTGTATCAAATATAACAATCTCTCAGTATTCACCACAATGTAACTTCTCAGACAAGTGTATGCTAAAAACAGTTAAGCCATACTGGGAAAACATTTTTAAAATTTATTATGGATGTTTATTTAGGAAGAGAGACAAGCAAAGAAAAGACCAACTGCACTAAACCATAAACCACTAGCAAAAAATAAATAAGGATACTAAATATACAAGGCACTGAAAACAAAGTCAGATTTTAAAGAACATTAAATAATGTTGAATGTTCGCCTTTTTTGAAAATTAGGGGTTTATTTTTCCACCAAGCAACCATTTGCAGTCAGGTAAGACATTACTGCCTCCAAGAGTTTGCCACTGCTCCTGCACTAGTTCCCACTCCCTCACAAAGCTGGCAAAAGAGAACACACCTTCCTTACTCTCCTAGTACAAAGCTACCTTTACCGGTAATTAAAGGCAACAATGACACATGTTGAATTGTAACAGCTAAAGTATGGGAATGTATTCTATTTCACAAATTTTGCTGTGGCAGCAGTAATTTTTGACAGAAGAGCAAAGTGAACAGCTGGGAACACCAACACCTTAACCACCACTTTTCTGTTGGAGGTCTACCATTGTTAGTCCATCTAAAATACAAGTGTTAGGCAGTAAGTTTTGAATTCTTCGGCTTAATTGGATTCATTAAAAAGATAAATGACCTAGTTATTGGGATAATAAGATCTACCCCATGTAAGATTTTTTCCTTATTTTTGAATCACCAAAGAATCTTTTATGTACATTCAAAAGGAGGAGGACAAGTCAAGGAATAAATTTGAAAATAACACTGTGTGCCACTACTGCAATAGATACCCATCGTGAACAAATGCATGGTATTTATAAAGCCTTTATTAATGTAAGCTGTTAAACTCCAGTATGTTATATAATCACAGACCTGTTCAAACGGACTTTTAGTCTTAATTCCTTTTCCACCACAGAAGACCCAATTGTCTCTAAAGCCAAGGTTAGTAATAGATGTGCTTCCTAATTCAGCGATCAGCTTCCTTGCTTCCTCATTAAGCCTTGAACAAAACAGAGAAGTTCAACATGTGAATAAAATACACGCCCTTAGAACTTTCATTGTTCAATGGACCATTCATCTTTAATCTGATAAACATAGTTTAAGTCAGTCAATATTGGGCAAGATCCATCTTTCAAAATCAGATACGGCTAATTCTGAAATCACCTGATCTAACGAGCACTGCTCTTTAATCTCAAGGAACCAGCATACAAACCTATCAGTACACCAGCAAAAGCCAAGAACCCTCTCCTGTGGGAATTTATACATACATCTCAAGTCATGTTAGCAATTCTCCAAGCAACTAAAAAAGTCAACCTTTAAAGTAAACATTGTTTGCAGGCTCAAGCTGAAGTCTAGATAAAGTAAAAGCTATTTTAGATTAGAAGAATGACATAAATATATGAAAGAAGTTCTTGTCTGCTTGGGACAATTAATTCAAAATTCATAACCCACAGCACAGTTCAGTGCCTGTAGGTCCAACTTGGATAATTTTAGTATGGAAGGGAAAACAGTTCTGTAGGATGATAAATTATCATTCCAAAACATCCAAATAACAGCTCTTTATTTCTTCCTTTCAGTTACTATATTTGCCCGCTTACTAAACAAAACATACAACTTCTGATTATTACTACTTACTGAGATATAGTTGTACAATTCACTTTAGCTAAAATTATGAAAACGATTAGGTACTTTGGAGGTTATTTACACAACCCACACTTCAAGTTTCTAGAACATTAGGGCAGCTTATATTTAAAAAAAAAATCAAAATAAAAATACTTTATCTTTTAAATATGTTGGTTCTTCACAATTTGAATTGTTTTTAAGAACTGGCATTTATGATTACCATCAACCACCAGTGATAAGGTTTTGGCTAATTATGTAATATCACTAATAAGTAGTAGTTCCTGGCTGTCAGCATGAATGGCCCAAACTGACCTTCTTGTTTAGCTGATATTGTATCTACATACAAGCTTTCAAAAACATCAGCTGTGACGTGATTATTGAAACTAACTGTACTTATTATCTAAAACATCAAAGAAGAGAAAAAGAGCAAAAAGAAAAGCAATATGACAAATGAATAGAATAACAGACAGAAGATCCAGCCTTGGCATAAAGAAACATTAAATTGCTTTCTTCTCCTAAAACCTGTGAATGTACAGACACTTAACTATTTACCGCAATTATTGCACATGGCAAAGTCAGGACTTTGTCATAGGAAAGCTGCTCCTGTATCAAAAATACTGACAAGTTGTGGATAACAAATTGAACCAAAAGAAGAGAAAAAAGGTACAGAACACATTAGCAAAAAAGTTAAATATTATTAAAATAACATAGGAAAAGGAAAAAAAAACCCAACTCTTAATTTTCACTATGAACAGCAATCCTTTACAGCATGACTTAACTGAGGAGGAGGTTACAATACAAATTCTACAGTAATTTCTAGTATCTATTAAAGCTGACCAAAGTTGGGAAGGTTGGAAAATAATGCTTGAAGAGAAGTAAAACCTGTTAGGCTATCCCTACACTAATAAATTGAATAACTTTAGGGTGGAACAGTCCAAACACTGAGGCCAAAAAGTATGCGGCGCATACTAGCAACCTCTCAGACTTCAAAAGGAAGGATACAGGAAAAGCCTATTGGGAATGGTCTCTGCACCCCCGGAATGACTGAACTCTGTCTTGGAGTTGGTCTGAGAAGAGTGCTGGATGGAACTGACCAGTTTCCACCAGAGTATGTTCTCACAGTCACATTCCTATGTCTGGACATATCTGAATTTACTAGCATAAGACAGAATGAGCTATCAGCAATAGGAAAACAAGCACATCTCCAAAAAGACAGATATCCTTGGCAGCATACATTAAAAAAAGAAAAAAAAAAGAAAAAAAAAAAAGAAAGAGGTGGGCCACATTCTACGAGAGCAGCTAGAAACCTACAGGGTCTTCAGGAACCAAGGAGGATAAGGGTATGGTTTAAAAAAAGTACAATGCCTGACATGCAAATATATTCTTCAGAGCTATGAGAAAGCAGTTTGTTGGATGGACAATATGCCCTACGTTTTCTTGTTGCATTAACACCTTTTCTCAGAGGAGCAAAAAAACCAACTTTGTCTACTGATATAGCAATTGCTAATTAGTCAACTATTAATGTCTAGCCTTTTCATATTTTCAAACACTTGTACTAATTCTCCTAAAGGGTCTAATTTAATATCTAATTTATTGTTTCTCTGTTGTTGGGATCACAAAAATATACACCTAACAGTCTTCTCTGTATATACATACATAACCCATTACACCTGGTTAGTTTTAATTTGATCCTTGTTGTCCCCAAATCACATCAGCATTATAGAACTAATAAACTGAAAGCATAGTTTCAAATCCGTCATCTAGGGAGAACAAAACTTTATCAAAAGTGATTGTGTGATAAAGAATGCACTTTTTTCAGTATAAAACAGCATTTAAAAGTTTAAGCAGTATTTACTATATAAATCAATGACATACTTGGTTGCACCATCATCATATGTTCCCATTAACACTATCGTTCCATCCTGGATGGACTTCAGAAATTCAATAAATGGTGCCACATCTGAAAAAAGAGAGAACACAAAGAACTGTTTAATAACAAGCAACCATTCCATATTTAAACACCTGCAATACCTTCCTGCAAAGACATTCCTTCTAAGAGTATTTGTAAATGTTCTTACATATTTGTAAAAAGATGCTAAGTGGGAGAAAGATAAAATGCAGGACAGAACTCTTTCATTTTACAGAAAGAGTTTCATCCATATTGTGTAAAGACATAACCACTAGTGGGAACTACTCAGGAGAACAAGTGTGTTTGATTAACCATACCATTCCCTCCCACCTCAACTATTTGTGTTTCTTTAAAGTTGCACTCTCCTCACAATTGCAAAGGTAGAGGTGAAGCACTCCCTTAACTATCACCTTAAACCGTCACAGCAAATGGAGCCTGGAGAAGGAGGAAAAAAAACAAAAGGAAAAAAAAAAAAGAAGGAAAGAGGCATTTAAGTTGTTTCTCTCTAACCAGCTAAAGTGACTGCACCTACCTCCTCCCCACATGTCAAAGAATTTAGTGTCTAATGGTTCTCCTGTTTTACCTAGAGAAAGAGAAATATTTGGTGTCATCAAATATAGCCAAAATTCTTTTACAGACAACATGCCCAACTCCTCCTCTTAATGACTCTTTCAGAGAAAGTGCTGCAGAAGACACCACGTAAATCAATTACTATGTTAACTCTTATCTTTTATAAAGATTGCTCCTTAAACAGCATAGTAGTTGGTGAAAAGGTGCAGGAAAAGGTAAGAGGAAAAAAACAGAGAAGATGCAAACTTCTGATTTTGCTTCAAATGGAATATAAAATAAAACAAAAAGCCCACAGCCTCTAAAACCAATAAAGATAATTCACTGCATATATTTGCCTTTTTTTCTTAACTTGTTTTTGCAAAAATAAATAGTACAGCAGTAGGTTGCCTTTAGTGCCACATGGAAAGTAAGAAAGATTAAAATTACACTGCATGTTTTGCTACAGACTGGAAATTCTTAGTTGATTTAAACATCCAGAACAAATAGAAGAAAGTGGACAATATAGTAATCTCATTAGCTTTTTCTTTTTTAACTATGCTGTCTACAGAGGCAGTATTTGATGGAAGGTAGAGTTTTCTTTTTAATACATACATTCATTTAAAAATTTTGGAATACAGGGAGAAAGACTGGCAGCTATATAATACACAGGTAGGTTATTTGGTTTTGAACAGATTGAGACAATTTAGGAGGGCAAAATAGGATTAGGTGAGTATTGTTCAAGTCATGCTTTAGATGACGTAAACCTGAGTACAATCCAAAAATAACATGAATTTATACTGCAGTGAAATGACAAAGTACTATCTCGGTGCTACAAGGAATTGCTTCTTACACATTAAAGACAAATCTGTGAGTACTGACATTCAGTTCAGCTTTCAAGGTGACACACAGGCAAATTTGGTTTTTATGAAAGTTAAGAATCCTGAACACAATTACATAACATGATGTATTTAGGGACAAGACCTATAGATATGGACTGATCAAATTTACTGATTTCAAACTAGGAAATAATGAGCTGGTCTTTCCATGTAGTAACAGAATTGTTAAATTTAAGTTTCACTGAAAAGAGAGCAACAGAAGAATTTAGTCTACAGAGTTTTATTAGTGGTGGCAACACACAAAGTCAAAAGTAGCAGCATGCATCTCATGTCTTTTTCCATTTTATATGTGCATTAGGAATTTATCTGATGACCAAAATAGTCACCACAGCACTGCACATCACTATTTTTACTACACATTTTTAGAAACAAAAATGCAGTTTTTCTACTTTCTAACAAAAAGGTATAAGTGCCAAAATCTGATATTATGTCAGTACAAATACGCTGAATACTTCCTTTTCTGCTCCTGCTTGCCTTTCATCATCCCTTAGTATTTCACCTTAAATTTCAGAAACAATTTGAAAATGAAGACAATCTAATCTGCTCACTTAAAACGTCACTTACCATTGACCAAGGCCACGTTTATTCCTCTGCCAACATTATTTTTAACTCCACTCATTAAACTGAAACAAAACAAACAATGTTATTTTTAACAGGGCAATTTTCTGATGTGAAGTATTTCTGGTTTTTAAATAGGAACAATCAAATTGTAAGCGATACATAGTTGAAAGACCACATGTTCATGAGTACTTAAATGAAGCAAAATCTCCTAGAACTAATCTATGTGCTCTTATGGCACCACTGAATTGAGAACAATAGATCAAATATCCCCAGTTGTATCCATTTCACTTGATCACTTAATCATCTTGGTTTCAAAGTATGTGTGTACATTAAAAGTGTCACAAAAAATAAAGTGCTACTAATATATTTAAGAAAATTCCTTGCAGTTAAAAAGCCTGAAACAAATAATAATTTGAAGGAACTTAGCACAGTCATGTAACCAACATTTTAAGCTTTTTTGTAAGCACATGATGAACAAAAATGTGTTTGAGTTTAAAAGCGAACCGAACAGAGGCATTTAAAATTAGTATTGCAGCATCCCACTAAGAAACAAGAAAGTCAAAGCAGTTAGCTACTTGTACCTATAATAGGAAAACTAAATCCAAGAAAAATAGTTAATACACTGATGGGACTTTTCTTTAAAGTTTAATATAATCTTGGAGTACAGTTACACATCCCAATAAAACTGTTACAATCTATTACAGTAATTACTTGGCCTAACTCAGAGCGGCAAAGGAGCTGGAAAGAAGAGATGCACTGTGAAAGGGAAGCCCTTCAGAGCTGTAAAGAAGAGCTAATGGGAATGTCAAAACTGTCAGCTAGGATGCTGTGCTGCCTTGGGCCGTGGTGGGTGTACCGCTCCAGTGAGAAGAAGCTTCCAGACCTCCTTACCCCTTTTCACTGGCACTGTACAGACATCTCTGTTCTGCCTCCAGGCCCCAAATATCCCAGCATTTAACATTTTGAAGCTCGGAGTAAAAGAGTTAATATACACAAGGAGAAATAGGAGTAAGGGTTGAAACAACTACATAAATTAAGATAATGAAGAAGGCTTCAGCTGAGATTCAAGAAAGCATGTCCGCATAAGCACATAGGCGCACATATCTCATTAATTACAGACATACTCCAACAGATGCTTTAATTCCATCCTGATCAGGATTTCTTTAACCTCCCTAGCGTGTTCTAGGAAGGGGCTCACATTTCTTCTGCGATCATATGATTTTCAGGTCATGTCTGAACATCCATTCTAAGCAACTTTTCGGAAGGACCACATCCTTACACACACAGCGGCAACATCAGCTTTCTCATGCTAACTTATTAGTGATAGGCCTGAAACAAGAAATGGTCCATCACAGAACCATAACAAAAATCTTCCTCTCTGATGCTATCTTTTGCACCCAGGATGAAGACAGAAGCCAAAATTTAGAGGAATGTCAAATTTCATAGACAACTATCACAAACAGACTCGGTGTTAGCTAGTTCAGAGAGGCTGTAAAAGACTACCAGTTAATGCTAACTCTTGGCACAATGACTTAAGTTTTAAAGAACTAGTAATCAGAGATGAAAGAGTCCATATTCTTCTGTTAGTCCTTTAAGTTATACCATCTGCCAAAAAATTCTGACTAAAATTAAAACTCTAATTCAATAATTTCTGAAACAGAAGACTTGACATTTTCTGCTGAAATGCAGAATTCACTTGGTTAGTAGGGAAGCATTCTAGCCACTGGAGGATCATTTCTTCTCTGATCACATGATTTTCATATCATGTCTGAACATCCGTTGTAAATGATAAAAACATATGGCAAATAAAGACTGAAAACATAAATTAAAAAGGGCAGTGGAGTTCTGAATGTATTACTTTGCTCATACAAAATTTAGTGGACTTTTAATTTACCAAAAAGAATAAGAAATTCCTTTTAACTACAAAATTCTCTGTAAATAAATACCAGTCAAAAAAATATCCAATAGTGGGGTGACTAGATGCTGAAAATCCACACATACATAACAAAAGTTATAATGGATTTCAGACAACAAAAAAAATTCTGCAAATATGAATACTTGAATGACTAGTTATTAAAGGAATGTAGCGCAACATTCTGCTATAAGGTTACTGTGGCACAATCATGCAACTGGCTTCTTAATAGAAGTAGTAAAACTGCATGGAGAAGTTGCTGGTAAAGTAGTACAGCAGTATCACCCCTTCTTCTAAAAAGGGCATGAAGTAGCAACTACAATATTTAATATTTTGATGACAACTACAGTTACGTTTTTTTCTTGTTTGGATTATGTCCTTCCAATATAGAACAAGGCTATAACTGAACTTCCATATAGCAGAATTCCTGTTTCACACCAAAATATCTATACAATTAAAGACAAATTGAGAAATTAAACGCATTCTGAATTATATCAGCACCTTTAGTGCTCTCAAACTGCGTGACATCCTTATGTTTAATACACAGCAAAAAACCTACGTTGTAAATATCATTGACAATTTATGAAAACTTGTCCATGCTTCCTTGTCTTGGAAGTATGAAGAAGAATAAAAAGTAATCAGAAAAAAGCATTTTGCGGGAGTGAGTTCACAAAATATCACTAAAAAAAGAGCTACTGAAAAGGAAATAAGTTCTTTCAGAGCTCTAAGATACTACTTTACACATTTGAGATAGCTTGTGCACTGCCTCAAACACTACAGGCTGTAATGTGACAGTTTTCTCACAGGAGGGCAGCCGTTCATCAGTTTTAGAATTCCTCCAACAATTTACAATCACAAGTTATGGGAGCTTTTGAAAGAGAAATCAAACGTCTTATGAGCAAAGCAGGAGATAATATAAAATTCATCAAATTTTCCAGTGGACATTTAAATAGACATAACAAGTCCTCCTCAGAAGGAATTCAGAAAGATTTTTGCCAAGCGAAACTGGATTTAAGACTCCAATAGCTGTGCACTAAGGTGCACGCTAGTATTAAAAAAATACATGATTTCTTGCCAGCAACTACTTTCTTTTCATCACTTTCTTCAGTGAAATATCCAGTAGAGGATTTTTTTTTTTTTGGACAGGAACAACAATCTCGTCTTAGTTAACCAGACACTTAAAAAAACCCCAACCAAACCCTACAATCCTTAAGTTATATTTCTTGCACGCCCACAACTTTTAATCAGTGAATCACCCTAAGTCTTCACAGGTATTAAGCTAGGAACCAGAATAAGAAGGTAGCAAGTTTTGTTAACATCAATAAAATACCATGCAGAGAGATAGATAAGACTGTCCAAGGTCATGAAGCAAATCAGCAATAGGAATGGAAAGCAGAAACTAGCAGCTTTTCGTTAGTACATGCCAAGGGTGAGCTCATGCTCACTTTGCACACACTCCCCGACTACACCGTGATGTCCCACTGCTAACGCACTCCTACACAAGCGAGGAAGCTTGAGCTAAGTCAACCTCACAAAAGAATGGCTTGAAATTTGAATGGTGCTCATGTTTCTGCTAATAATGCAAAGCAAAGAAGCTGCAGGTGTTTAGCTGTCAGGGGAAAAAAAGCTCCTTTTCAATTTCGCTACATCTTAATTGCTAGATTTACCGCTAAAAATAAAATACAGTCTTCTCTTTAAGATTAGATTAATTATCCTATTTACTATATTACATGGGGTTATGCTGTTCACAGTGAAGTTGCCATTTCCTCTAGAATTCATTAGCAGTAACCGCTGTACATGCTATCTGAACCACTCTGTAGTAACATAGCACGGGCGGAGAAACAGCTAAACTGGAGTAGTTTAAATGCAAACGGAAGGCAAAGGCTTGTAAGTGTGACTGATATTAAAAAAAGTTGTTATACGAAGCCACACGCTCTGGGTGACAATGAGCAGGGACAACCTAAGAGCAAAGAAACAAAGAGTCTAAAAATAAGTATTAATATTCCCATTATGGGGATTACTGAAAGGTATTCAGTTAAATACTCTACGCACAGTATTATTGATAATACTGTGTTAAAAATACAGTTATTAAATACAGGACTTAAGCTCAAAACCAAACTGTGTTTTAAGCAGTTCCTTTCCTCATATCACAATTATTTTATTAACTGTAGTTACTATCAGCACAATTAAATAATTACTGATCATTAAAATACTATTTTTCCCTTTTGAAGTCACCCTTTAAAGAGAAGTGGAAAATATGTTCTGACATTGGTACTATAGAAATAGTTTAAAAGATGCTTGCAAAAGACACTTCCACAGCACAGTTTTAGCTGATGATATTCAGTTAGAAGTACCAAGAGTAACTACTTAAAAATACAATCATTCACTGAATTATTATTAGAGGCATAAGTTACCTGGAGGCAAGTTTGTATCTGCTTGACAAAGTCTAACTAATCCTTAAGTCTGTAAACCTGAAATAAAGCGTAAGCTATCTTGCATGTATTAAAATAGCATACATTTCTGCATTTATTGCAGCGTATTATGTGTGATTCATCAGATTAAGTTATAATGCAATATAATTTTTTCACGTGATCAAACCATTGGCAAAACAAAACCTACAAAGAATCATTTAAACTACTGATTTTATGTGCAAAGTGATCCAAGACAGCATTTGAAAGAGATACTTAGAGACAACAGGTAAAAATACTTACACATTATCTTCTACACAAATTTTAGGTCCAACTACATTTGCTGCTCCACTTGCCATTTTGAATGCAAAATGCTTTTCAGGACAAGCTTTAGAGATCCCACATTTGTATCTTGGAGGCTTTGTAGCTTTCAAAAGGAAATAAAACAGGATTTTAGAGACAGCACCATGGGTAGGCTAACAGAGAAATATCAGTTATTTTTCTGAAGGCATTCAAGGAAAAGAGCAAATACAAACGGTATCTTATCTGCAGTTTCATAGCAGCTTAAAATAATCTAGGTTCCTGCAGCACCTCATTATTCTACTTCTTGTTCTTACCCTGCTGCTTGCCCTGGCACTGTCATCAAAAGCCACAAGACAAAACTACAAGTGAAATGCTGGCAAAAAACAGACTTTACCCAAAACTTACGAAAATCAGGAAAAGAGGAAAATTAGTTTCTGATTGCATTTGAAATATAATTAAGACTTTCTCAACTATGAAAATTCAACAGTCTTTCTGTTATTAGCAAAAGCGAGTCACAGCAATAACACATGCATATGAATACTCACAGCGTGCAGCTGCATCCAGTGCTGATCTAGCTAAAATGCAAAAAGAAAGTTTTACAAAATGTCTGCTATAAAATATCCTATAAATTTAAAACCTTTCTGTACCCCTATAAAAACAGGTTGGCTGAAATTAAGTATCAAATAGATCTGAACATTATGTTCCAATAAAAACATTAACCTTTACACAGGAGAAGAATACGACTCTCCAACCGACACCAAGATCCATGGAGATACAAAACCACCAGGGATTCGTGGGGCTGTGGGCACTAAAGTGAAATGAATTCCCTTCTTACAGCTTCACCAGGATGGGGATCCTTTCACGTAACACTGGAAGCCTGCAACTCAGGTGTGTTTGAACCCAACCATTCATGACTCCCCTTCTTGGGATAGGAAGAGACACAAGTGACCTCATCATGCGCATTCCTACAATACATCTGTAACACTTAATGGCACCCGTGTCTCTTCAACAATTATTAAAGATGCCTCTGATGACTGGTTCAGATGTCAGCTCACACTGCAGTAATCTGGAGTTAAATGACATGAACCCCATCCACGTACCTAAAATTGTGGGTTTTTTTTAATGAAAAGCCACTTTAAAGTTCGTTCAAAACAGACTCTGAATTTTAAGTCACCTCAGCTGCTAATCCTTTTCTGTGTAGAACCTGGGCACATCTGAAGTGTTTTGATTACTGCACATTCAATTGTACCTGTGCAAGCAAAAAAGCCCACGCAAAACTTAAATTTTGAATTGCTTAAGCAACAGAAAGGCAGAGTGCAGACTTCCAGAAACATCATTCAAGTCGCCTAGTTTACAACTCCAGGCTAAGACTGTAAGTACCAGTAAACAGAAGAAGCAGTAAAATTATTCACACTCGGCAGGCAAAAGAATCAAACTCATTAAGAGAGCAGGTTAAATATTTCATACAGAAGATAACTCAATACACACATTATATATGCATAATACATACGAAAAATAAGAACAACTACACACATTAAAAATAAACACAGAATTCTTAAGTGTAAGAGCCTAAGTCAAGCTCAAAGCAAAACGAATATGATATACTTGATTATGGCTCAAGTAAATATTAATAGATGTCTGGAGAAAACAAAGTCATCACTTACCAAATATGTGTCCTAAGTTTGCATCCATTTTTATTTCAAACACTTGAGATATGACATAAAATGTCAATAAAAATATTGCTACGACTACTACCAACTTTGCAGCACCTATTCAAAAGCAGAGAAAAGTTTAAAAAAATTATCTGCAAATGGTAACATTAAGTTTACCAAAATTAACTACATGAGAAATGTGTATCAGATTACATGAAGGGGAACTCAGAAACAGGATGATAGTTTGTGGAGTCACTAAACAGAAGTAATCTGCAAGAAATGGACATTACAGCATAGGATGCAACTGAACCAGTCCATCAGGTCACTCCACCAAATACATACCCTGCTCTCAGCTTTCTCCAGCTTCATGCTTGTCTGACACCACAATACACCAACTAAGCTCAGCAGCCAGGAGAAACCACAGACTTTTCAGGAGCAATCCAGCTTAACAAAATGAACTAAATTAACCTAACTGGCTGCTGTCCAAAGGGGAAATTCCCACCTCTCCCCATTCCACTTCCCTGTTCTTAGCCATGTGTACCCATTTCCTCACTGTTCACGAATACTCTTCCCCCTCCCATCCTCAAATTGAGCTACATCTATTTTAATGGATGGCCGAGACTGAGTGATTAGGGATCCATTCATACACTGTAGCTTGGCTGCTTTGGTCAGTCAGGTCTGAGCATTACATTAAAAAAACAAAAACAAAAACCCAACACCCCCCCCCCCCCCAAAAAGAGCCTCCTCTTCAACAAATTTAAATTACTGACCTTCAAAAAGCAAGTCTGAAGACTCAAAAAAGCTAATTTAAAAAGTAATAAAAAGCAGTACCTCTCCTCTTCTCCTCTTAATATGTTGAAGCCTCAGGTAGCTTGGAGTTTGACAAGCCTAACTTTCTCCAATGCCAAGCAGTCAAACTACCGCTTGGGAGAAGCACCTGGAAGCACGTAACCACAGAAATTTACATCTGAAGTGAACACCTGGGTGTACGTGGTACTGCCATGAACCCCGCCATTTTTTAGCGTAATTTTCAATAGATTTTTACAGAACACTCCCCTCCTAGCTTTTTGTAAAATAGTGAAAGTAGAAGTTAGGTGAGGAGGGATCTGATCAACATCCTGCCTCCTTGTCTCACCCCAGCATGTCAAACCATTTGGAAGAAGCAACCTTACGGCACGCTTCTGTTTCTCAAATTGCCAGCCAAATAAATCCTTCAGAAAAAAAACAAACTTATGTACTCTGCAGATCTCAGACTGGTGCTGTGATGGGCTGTTCAGAAAGCCTTAAAATAGACAGATTACTCAGCCTTCAGAAGGATGAGAGATATTAATCAATCCTTCCAAAAGGCTAAAAAAAAGATAAAGGGATAGAAAAAGAAAAGAAAGATGAAGAATGAGATACAACATTTTTGTTTGCTTGTAGGTCAGTCTTCCTTCCCACCTTCCTTTCCATGTGTGTGAGCACAAACATACTATGCAAGAAAACACAGATGCAAACTTAATTTAAAAATATTATGCTGGAACTCCCAAAGATTATTGCACTTAAGGGAAGTGAACCACATGTAAGCACTAGAGAAAATAGATGATCTGAACATATGTTAAGATGTGGAGAAAAGGTTTTCAAAGCAACACTGCTTAAAAAGACAAGATGGTACCAGATTTTGGAATGTGTCATGTAGCAAGTGGCACTTGGAGAGCATGTTGTTTCAGTAGATAGTAGGCAAGATGAATGAGAACTCCGTCTGAGCACTAACCCTCCCCTCTATATCCTGAGGCTTTCAACTGAACTGCAAGCGCTCCCTCTAAGGGAGATGTTAGAAATCTAGAAAGTTCTTTTAGCACTGGAACCAAAACCAGCCTGTTTGCTACAGGTTAAACATTCTATAGGAAATGCCATATATTCTTTGTCTGTGGGTTTTAGCAACACAAGTAGTTAGATGGAAGAAAAAAAAAAAAAGATGTTTGGAAAAGTCATTTTCCAGGTAATGTAGCCATCTTCTAAAAACTGCAGCATTTTCCAGTTCTTTATCAGATTTACTTTAGCAGTTGCTCCCAGTCATACATATTGAAGTTAATAAAACAACTTTAGAAGTAGTGACAAAAATCAGGACTAATTTCATGCATTAAGAAGGTTATGCAACTCTCTTGGAAAAGAAGGTGTCATTCTCTCCTAGAAGAGCCAACAGTTGCTCTTTCTGCAACATAACACTACAACTATTGATAAAAGTGCAATGCCTCAGAAACTCAATAGCAAGGCTATTCGACTGCAAGGAAATGTCTAAAATAGTATTTTGTTGTAATGTTATATCAGCAAAGATCTCATTTTTACAACCACTACAATTTCTATCAAGTAAAATCAGTTTCTCAAACCCTGTACTAGAGCAACCTACCTCTATGAAAAGGCTTCTATAGCTTTCAAACTCCCAGTAACTATTCAGGAAGTTTCAGACACGATATTATAACAGTGCATAGCACTTTTCGTTGGGGTGTGAGGCAGGGAAGAAATCGCTTAAGACATCAATTGGCCATTTCCTATTCCTTCATCATCTTACAGAATTAGCAAAGTATGTCAAGTCATGGCACCCCAACCAGTCACTGCGGATCAGCTGAAGCATTTTAACTGCTTGCTCTCAGACCATCCAAAATTCCAAAATGAGTTTCATTAAACATCAATTAAATGGAACAGCAATGCCTGTTATGCCAGTTAAATTTATTTTACAATCTTATTGTCACAACTTGTTAGTGCTGTCTATAGGTATAGCACTGGTTTCACAAGTGACAGAAGTCTGATTTTACTGAGCATACACTTACCTGCTATTCTCATGTTTAAGTCTTCAGCCAGCTGATGACGCTACTGCATTAAAAATAGCCACCTAGGGAAAAAGAAGAGCACATCATTGTAATTACAGCCAAATAAGCACTTGCGTGATGAGTTAACAGTAAAAAAACTCATAGATTTTCTAGCCAATAACATTAATGATGATTGTCCTGAATACCTACTACTTAAAGCTCACAGTAAAGGGAGTAAGATTTAAGATGGATTTCTGATGTATTGCTTTCATTTGTTACTCCATGAAACAAGTGTTCTGAAAAACCATTAATTTAATTCATCAAATCAACTACAAACTCCATTCAACTTTCAACCCCTCAATCTGTGACATAAGTATTTATCAGTACTGTATCTAAGCAGTCTTTGGCTTCCTAAAGCTACGTGCTATAAGTCAACAACTCCACCAGCATTGCTTCAAAGTCCTAGGAACTTTCTGATGCAAGTTGTTATTTGGCAACATAACATAGCAAACTATGCTCTGGAGAGAAAAGATTTAAGCATTTTGGTCTTTAGGCTACTGCATAAACTGCATTCAATGGAACTGCAAGAAGGTTATTCTAGTACTTTCATCTATGCATTACAGAAATGTAGTAACACATTTGTCACTCATACAGCATCCAGAAGATTCATGTGATGGTCAATGGTGACAGAAGCACCAACCCTAGAACTGAGGCTATTTCAGAATAAACCGAAAACCACAGCCAATGAGCAAACACCATGTAAGCTCCCAAACATTGTTTTTTTTTCTCGAGAAGAGTTTGCCACCACATGAAGTCAAAACGGGCCACAACCTACACAGACTCTGCTCAAAGGTTACCACCACCTCCTCCTCCTCAAGCAACCTCTTGTCCCTGGGCTGTACCAAATCTCTTGCCCTCTGCCTGCAGAGCCACGGCTGCTGCTGGCTCTGCACCACGGTCGTGCTCAGCCACGGTGGGCCCACGCTGCACTGAGCCTGGACATCCCTCTCTCGAGTTTCCCCCTACTCCCGATTCAAGAAGCGCAGAGCGAAGATGACCGCGTACAGCCACTTGGCACCCCTCCCCCAGCACTGACGTGGTATCTATGCAAATCAGGTTTGGCAAGCATAATCTTTACTAATGAAACACTATGTATCTATTAGAAACAGGCAATTTGTTTTACAACATTTAAGTAGATTAAGCATGTAAAAAAATTTTTTTTAATAAACTGAAATTAGAATTTGCTTGAAAACAGTATGCTACCTGAACTGTTCTCATTTCTTCTATTCTTACCAGCATAAGAAAGAGCCCTCAGTTACTTTCAGAAATACATGAGGCATTCAGACAAACAGCAGTCTGTAATCAGTACTTCCCTTCCAAAAAAAAAAAAAATCTATTTCCGAATTTGCATTTTGCTGCATAACTATTTACATTTAATATGACAAAAGAAAATCTATTGACATTCAGGGATCTTATTGGATCATCTACACTAAGGCAGAATTTGAAAACATGTAATAAACTATAATTCTAATCCAAGTAGCCATCCCACACCCCCATGACAAAAGCTACAGCATCCCTAACACTGCAGTCCTATGTCATGATTTTGAAAACCTTCAAAAACATTCTCTTTGAAATTATTTGAAAAACTATTCTTGTTAGAAGTCAGGAAATGCAAATCATTTAGAGAAGATCACCAAAACCCCCACGTAGTTCTCTTGGTCTATGCTAGAGAGGAAAAATTTATATTAAACAAGCAACCTTTTGCCTTCACTTAACTCAGTATCTGTAAGTTCAGCGATTTGTGTCCAGATCCTCTTTGCCAAAGACACAATCATTGTGCTCTATTGCTTAAAGTTTCCAAGAAAATGGTCAGCAGAGAAATAAACAGGAAAACCAAATACAAGTATAGAAATATTTATTTCTACTCCGTAAGAATTTGTAAATAAGTATCAACGAAGTTTGAAAAGCAGACAAATGTTTTGAATGCTAAGGTTGCACTACAAGGGAAATCTCATAGCATATTATGGACCTAATATATCCATTATATTTATAGCCACATGTATTAATATATAACATCCTGTTTCAGTGAAAGGCTAGTATTTATCTGTCTTATGAGAAAGGCAAAAAGAATCTGCCAGGGCAGACAAACTCATTTCATTTCAAAGTCTGTGAACAGAATCATTCTAAGCTACTTTCTCTCCCCTCCCCATCCCCAGAAATATATCAACATTAAAATAACCACTGCCCGTAGTTTGACCAATCATGAGCTTGTTTTAAGTCAGCACTTAAGAAAAAAAAAGTTTAATCTTTTTTACTATAAACAAAACCACATAATGAATTTGAAGCATGAAAGCAAGAATATAAGAAAAACCAAAAAGCAGAAACTAAGTGAAATGATCACATGATCCAACCTTGACTGCAGAATGCCTTTATCCCAGCACCCCCATCCACCCACCTCAGTGATCATTATTTGTTGCAATCAACAAATACACAACAGATAAGATGCATTTTTTTGTGTGAAATGTTTTTGATTTAGAAAAAGTAAAATGAGTATGTTATGCCACAACTTGAAAGGAATTTTTAAAGTGATTATTTTCCTAAATTACAGCATACCAAAAAGTGGTGGGGTTTTGATCTAGAGAATAAACACAGGAATGCTACAGTACAGATGAATGTTGCACAGCATTTTCCAGCTACAAGCAAATAACTTATGAATGCCAAGTCCTTTTCCTATGCAGTATTATCTTAGAAATTTTTTTTTTTTAATTCAAGACAGAACAGGCATAAAATAGGACAGCCCATGAGCCCTTATGAATGCTTACAGACCACTACTCCACATCCTTAGTATTAGACCTCATAACTGAAATTACAGAAGTTATATAAAAATGGATTTGGAATTTCTAACAACGCATATTTTAGGATCATTTAAAACAAAGAACATAGGACCACAACTGAGCTTCAGACCAGTGACCTCTCAACCACGGTAAGCCATATTCACATCCTGAATAAAGATCACAAAGCTACAAAGAGGTTGTGGTCTACAGGCTGGTAGAGTCAGGCTTCTTGTCAGTAGCTGGCGGGCATTTTTCTCATAAGGCTTTGATGATGCTAACCTTCAACCAAGCCCAGCCAGCCACCACGCTGGTCTAGCAAGACGGTAAAATTCCACTATGTAAAGCTATGAAATATTGAATAGTAGAAAACAAAGAAGAAGGGAATGCTTTGTTAAACTGATGTAGAAAGTTCTCTCTGAACTGGCAGGGCATGATGGACTCAACAACAAAAGCAAGAGAAAACCAGCAGACAGGCAGGAAGCTGGTGCTACCATATTAGCACGTTCAGAAATTGCTCTTTCAGCACAGCCGAGCACACGAGATGCTCAATCCCTCAAGAATAGGAAGGAAAAGGTAGGCAGCTCACTGAACCAGAGAAGACAAGAAGTTACAGGTCATAAATCCTTTTTGAATGCTGGCATGTCATTGTGCAGTTCCCTGCATGGAGTTGCATGCCTATCTGTGCAGAAAAGGGTTATTTATTCTGGATGCAAACTACTAAGGAGTGGATATGTGGAAAGACAGTTGGGAGCTGAGGCTACTGGTTGCTTTTTTCTACTCCACCCATCCTTGTGCATTGTATTTTGTCCCAAGGCAGGGGCAATTTCCAGATGTTGCAATTTACAGTGCCAAAGCCATTCCAAGCAACCCCCATGACGGTCCAAAATGCTATATGTAGGGCAACCTAACAAAAGTAGAAGAAAAACAGAAAACAGCAGTGTACAGTAAAAAAAACAGAGGAGAGAAAAGGGCTTTCCCCCCACTCTGCTCCACTTTTTAATTAACTTGCATGGGGAGGACAGACTCAACACATCTGACAAATTTAGTACATATGTCCACATAGCTACTGCACATATTTTGATACATACTAAAACTTGGTTCAATCAGTAGAGCAGCAGATACTTGCTTTTAAAAGTGACCTGTGTCTCTCGAAGGAACCCTGCCAAGTACTTCACACAGGAAGCTTATAACTTCATTTAGGAAAACTAGGAGCCTACAGTCCTGCCAAGCAAATCATTGTCATGTTCTATTAGATGATATAAAGTTTATAGCACAGCAAGATTGAGCTCTTCGTGCGTTCATGTGTTAGATATGATGGTCATCAAGCAAGATTTCTTCATAGAATCAAGGTGCAAGAAGCAATTGAATTGAGGTGAGTAAAGCAATTGATAACATACACACAAACAGTTCTTATTAATACTGCCATGCTGACGCAACACTGAATGAAGTCCAGGTTTCAGTCCCAAGCTGAATGCAATTCAATTCGATCAACTCTTTATCAGCCTTGCTCAAGACTCCTGCCCAGAGACAGTGCCGTGGGACACACAAGGTAGGGCACACATCACTGGGGCACAGCCTCTGCCCTGCTGGCTGTGCGTGAAAGCTTTGGCCACTTGCAATGTACTTCTGTTTATAAGGGTTTTTCAAGTACTATTGTAATAAATGTTTTTATGGATAATAACAAAACATGCAGATTAGTCTACTTCATTCCCAGGTTAATAGTATTTCCCTTAGCAATTTGATAGCATGTGTAGATTATACTTATGAAACGGGCACACAAAAACAAGCAAACATGAGGCAATAATTTAGAATGTCAAGATAATTTTGAAACTGACATTAGTAGATTAGAAAAAGGTCCCAAAATCAGCAACAATATTTAATAAACCAGAAAGTAATACACTTCAAAAGGCACTTCGAGTGCAGCAAACCAGGCAGCAGTAATGAAGAAAAGGATCCGAGAGATTATAGCAGCTCTCTAATATTGCAGTCAACAACGTGGTACTGCTGCAAAAGTGTAACTGCTCATCATGAACTGTACCAGTAGGACTGCTGTGTGTGAAACAAAAAGCAATTATTCTGCTCTGCCGAAACAAACAAAAAATACTCTGCCCTATGTGCTATCTGGACTTTTAACTGAGACCCATATGTAGTTTTTCCTAAGTCTATCTTAAAGCATAATCCCCAAATGGAAGGATCTAGATAACAATTACGTGACCTAAATAAAACAACTAAGGGCTAAAAGAACCACGTT